ACACGGGAATGTCAGGAAAAATTCCCCAGGGGAAAGGGGGGAAAAGGGGAAAAAGGGGGGAAAGGGAAAAAGGGGGAAAGAAAAAAGGGGAAAAGGGGAAAGGGGAAAGGGGAAAAGGGAAAAAGGGAAAAAGGGAAAGGGAAAGGGGAAAAGGAAAAAGGGGAAAAGGGGGAAAGGGAGAGGGAAAGGAAAAGGGAAAAAGGAAAATGGGAAAAGGGGAAAAGGGGGAAAGGGAAAAAGGGGAAAAAGGGAAATGGGGAAAAGGGAAAAGGGGGAAAAGGGGAAAAAGGGAAAAAAGGGGGAAAAGGGGAAAAAGGGGAAAAGGAGAAAAGGGGAAATGGGGAAATGGGGAAAATGGGAAAAGGGAAAAAGGGGAAAAGAGGAAAAAGGGGAAAAGAAAAAAGGGGGACAAGGGAAAAGGTAAAAAGGAAAAGGGGAAAGGCAAAAAGGGAAAAAGGGGAAAGGGGAAAAGGGGAAAGGAAAAGGGGAAAAAGGGAAAAAGGGAAAAGGGGAAAAGAAAAAAGGAGGACAAGGGAAAAGGTAAAAAGGAAAAGGGGAAAGGAAAAGGGGAAAAGGGGAAAGGAAAAGGGGAAAAAGGGAAAAAGGGGAAAAGAAGAAAGGGGGAAAGGGGAAAAAGGGAAAAAGGAAAAAAAGAAAAAGGGGAAAAGAGGAAAAAGGGGAAAAGGGTGGGATCAGCAGCAGGGCCAGGATTTTCTGGGATCCAGGGGGTGATCCTGGATTTCAGGAATGATCCCAAATCCAGGAATGATCCCGGATTTCAGGTCACAATCCCAAACTCCAGGACACGACCCCAAACTCCAGTTCATGACCATAAACTCCAGGAATGATTTTTACAGCCCCGAACATGAAATTTTAAAACCCAAAACCGAGATTTTACAGCTCAAAACTGGGATTTTCCAGCCCTAAAACTGAGATTTTACAGCACTAAAAAAACAGGATTTTGGGATTTTACGACGCCAAAACTCCGATTTTCCAGCCCCAAAACCAAGACTTTAAGTCCTCAAAAACCAGGATTTTACAGCCCCAAAACTGGGATTTTACAACCCAAAAACCAGGATTTTACACCCCCAAAATCGGGATTTGGGGATTTTATAGCCTAAACTGGGATTTTACAGCCCAAAAACCAGGATTTTATAGCCCAAAACCCAGGATTTTACAGCCCCAAAATAGGATTTTGGGATTTTACAGCCCCAAAACCAGGATTTTACAACCCAAAACTGGAATTTTACAGCCCAGAAACCAGAATTTTACAGCTCAAAACCGGGATTTTACAGCCCAAAAATCGGGATTTTACAGCCCCAAAACCAGGATTTTACAGCCCCAAACTGGGATTTTACAGCCCCAAAACCGGGATTTTACACCCCAAAATTGAGATTTTACAGCCCCCAAACCAGGATTTTGGGATTTTACAGCCCCAAACCCAGGATTTTACAGCCCCCAAACCAGGATTTTACAACCCCAAACCGGGATTTTGTGATTTTACAGCTCCAAAACTGGGATTTTACAGCCCCCAAACCAGGATTTTGGGATTTTACAGCCCCAAAACTGGGATTTTACACCCCAAAATTGAGATTTTACAGCCCCAAAACCAGGATTTTACAGCCCCCAAACCGGGATTTTGGGATTTTCCAGCCCCAAGCTGGAATTTTGGGATTTTGGGATTTTCCAGCCCCAAGCTGGAATTTTGGGATTTTG